GGACATTTTCAAGATGTTCACTGAGTAACAAGGTCTAGAGTGATCACAGATGTGGGCTGATGGTTGGACAAGATATTCATATTGATCTTCCCAATCTTAATGACTCTACGATTATGTGAGATGTTGGAATGGCAGAGGTGAGGAGGATAGGAGCAGAAAGTCTTAGCAGGATGAACAGATGAGCAGTGATATGGTTCAGACTCCAGTCCATCACTCACGCTCAGGATTCCCACAACATAATCTGTATTACAAAATATCTCCTTTAGGCTGCCTTCTCAGCTTGAGATTTTTGGTAACAATAGAGGTGATGACCCTTAAAAAAAGCTGGTAATGATCCAAAGTATGCATATTCCTGCCTTTGCCCCCGCAATCTATCAGAAATTGTGTTTCTTCAGTTACCCAAAATACAATCCCATCCTTCCACACATGCTTTTCCCCAAATTACCTCTTGCTTAAACCTGCGAGCTGCCTTCTCCATTCTCTCCAGAGCCAGATCCCGTGTTCTTCTTGCTTCTTCCATCTTCTGCTGGATTCGCCTGCGACCCAGCCATTTCAGCAGCACAATGGCTGAAGCTGAACCACAAAACAAGGCTGAGAGAACACGAGGGTCAGCCCACAAGGGGTCTACGACCTGCCACAGTCGCTCCTGGATCATGATTTTTCTCCTGGTCTGGTGCAGTTACAAACACTTGGGTCTCCTACCCTCTCCTAAGGAGAATCGATGTACAAAGAATATTCAGTTGCCTTCTGGGCAAGATCAGCTCTGAGGCAAAGTTGTGTTAACAAAATCCAGAAATGGACTTTTTAAGACTGTGGACTTTGAAAGGGTCTGCCTGCCCAAGGAACACTGTGGGTTGGGCTGCAAGCTGCATGCTCAGATCACAAGAGGTCTGGAGGGGATGTCCCTCAAGGTTGTGGCTCTCCAGGCCACTGCCTGCTGCTAGAAATAGTTGATTAACAGAGCTGAGTATCTTAAAAACCCTGGCCTGGCTTATCCCCACATCTAATAATTAATAAGCAGTTAAGCCCATTAACTAGAAGCACCCAACTGTCATCTCTCTTCCCCTAGCAACAGCATGCACAGCCTTCAGCACTGGCTGGGCCAGCCTTGCTTGCTCTGGGGAACTTGCATTTATTGGAGAGGAGGGAGCTTAGGAGAACAAAAGGCTCGCAGTGAAGATTAAGCACAAGCAGGAAACGATTCTGGAAAGGCAGACTGGGACCTATCTGAAGCTGCCTCCAAGGAGTATGACTGTTCTGTCATTCTCTATCCAAGCCTCCTTAAAAAATATTTCAGCAATCCATATCAGGGAAATCTCCTCTGATGGGTTCAGTATCCCATCTACTCCCAGTAGTGTAGTAGAGCTTGTAAGGAGACTGGGTCCTGGGAAGTCATCACTGTCAGATGGAAAGGTCTTCCTTGGGAGCTGAAAGCCAGTGCTCGTGCTGCTGTTGTGCTACCTTGCTTGTACATCCCATGGGATTATTACTGTGGCAGCAGGAAGGGAACTACAGAGAAGAAGCAAGACTTCACTGAGAAACTGATAGCTAAATGGAAAGGAGAGGGTGTCCTTCTTGTCCATCCATGATGGACAGCAAAAATCAGCCAAGTCAGCGTGGACATCACCAACCTCTCCTCACTGACTGTGGGGAGGCGATCCTCATTCACACATCCCAGCTTCAAGTTTCAGGGCCAGCTGCCTGCTCTGGACTGAGGTCCCCAAAACCACACAGTAAGCCCAGCATTGCCCCTAGGCAGTGGGCACGGTTTGTTGGAGGCTTTTGCTCAGGGCTTCCGGAAGAATCCTTATTGGTTCAGGTCCACTGGCATCTCCACCCATAGGACTCCTATGTCCCACCCACCTCCTTGCTAATGAGAGACTGGTTAACGAAACTGGTTAAACTAACGAGGCTGGCTGGGCAGTGAGCTACACCCTGCCAGCTCAGGCCAACACGTGGGCATTCCTCCTCCTGGGACCATCTCCTCCCAACTTGAACTTTAAAGTGCAAACGGAAAATCCCAGACCAACATTTTCCATGTAGGCAGCGATTGCCTACAAATGGTGAAAAACTCAGTCCAAGCTTCTCTGGAGCTGTTGTTACATAGCATTCAGTCCTGGGATGCCTGAAGTTCCCCTCCCTTCCTCTTCCACTCCTTTTTTAAAGCCTGCTAATAAAGAATTAGAGCTCCGGGGCTGCTATTTGACAGGCTGGGCTAAACCCTCTGCCCAGCTCCTGACGAAAACCTATCATTTCTATGACTCTGGTTTAAACAATAACAATGCCTTTAAAACCAAAGCACCCATACCTTTTCCCGTCAAAGCTTTGTTTTGATTTATCTGTGAGCAGTTGCATCAGCAAAACGCATTGTGGAGTTCCTTTCTCAGACACCCACAGATGCCTTTTGGGAGCAGCCGCCGCTGCCAATCGCGGTGTGGGTGCCTGCCAGCAGCCGTGAGACCTCGCTGAAAACCTGGCCTGGCTCCCTCTGCAAATGGAAGGCACGAATGTGCAGCAGAGCAGGGCTTTGACACTGGCATGCTGCTGGGTTTGTGCAAGACAGTGAGCTGTACTGTTTATACCTCTGCTGTGGGGAAGGCAGGCGTACCTAAGGGATGGGGGTTGCTAACCAGTTTTTCCCCTTTATGCTCACCCATGTCAGTGTGGTGTAAGCAGCTCTACCATCCGGGAAGTGGTCCAGCTCCCTCCCTGCTTATCAGAGGTTTAGTTTTGACCTTTGATTGCCGGTGCGTGACAGGAAAAGCCTTTCTCCCTCATAATGCAACTTCTGTGGAGCCGAGAACTGGAGGCACAAACCCTTCCTATGGTACTGAAAGCAGGAATCTGAGTGTCTTAGATAACATGTCCAAAACAAACAAACAAACAAACAAAAAAAAAAACCAACCCATCAAACCTCCCCACAAAAACACACCTGAACCAGACTTTCCACTAACAAAAATCACTGTATTGGGTAAATTGGTGTAAACATTTGACCTCGTCTCACTTTTCCACAATCCACCCAATCATGAATGGGAATGCCAGTCCTGCAGGCAGGTGAGATGCGAGGGCAGCTTGCACCGCGCTGAGCTCAAATCCCGCTCTGGGTGAGGACTCAGACAATCATGTTTTTCTTCGTGACAAGCGTCTCCACTTCCTTCATGAACCGGAGGCACAGCTCCTCCTGCCACGGCAAGGCCACACACTGCACAGCCACCGGCATCCCCTCGGCACTGCTAAAAGCCTATGGCAGAAAGAAAAGGGAGAGGGTAGGGGATATGGCAGAGATGAGATGGGGACACTGTGCCCCCCAGGGGACCTGGCACAACTCACCGTTGCCAGGCCCCGGTCCCACCAGTCTCGGAAATAGCCTTGGTAGTTCTTCAGCTCCTTCTCATCCTCATCCGTCGCCAACGTGACGGGGACAACACCGACAGGGAAGTCCAAGGAGTTGTAGAGCATGGTGTAGCTGACTGCCACTGGGGGAAAAAGGGAGCTCACAGCAACAGGAAAAACCTTCACCCCCCTCTGTGTTTGACCACAGCACACATGAATGCCCAACACCACTTCCAACTAATAGGCATCCGTGCTGCGAACTCAGTGGCTGCAGGATGGAAGCCTGCCTCTTAGTTCCTGCACACACCAGGGTGGTTGTCCAGAAGCCAAGCTGCCCAAGAGCTGAATTCTTCCCACTGCTGCCCAGTGCCTCAGAAAGCAGGGGAAGGAGGAAAAATGCTTCCCATTTACACTGGCAGGGAGGCTACGGCTTGAGGTCAACCAGGCAGTCCTACCTGAAAGCTTTGCTGGGTAGCCAATAAGGAGAGCTGGGCCCAGCATGGGACAAAGCATCACATCCAGATTCAGCTTCTTCCACTGGGCGATAAACTGATGGCAAGACTCCTGAGAGGCAAACACACCGGTGGTCAGTGGGATGGATGCACTGTCCTATGGTTGAAGCCCCGCTGGGCTCCATCAGCTGTGGGGTGAACCACATCAGTCCAAATCCTAAAATCCAGTGGCTTTTGGGGGGCCATGGCAGCTCTTCTCTATTGAGAAGCCAGGCCCAGCATACCCATCACACAGCAACAACCAAAGAGCAATGTGCTATTAACATTGCCTCAGCTGAAACCAGAAGGGAAGGGTGTAGTGCAGTGCTAACCTCACCTGTCACACCATCACACACAGTCACATCGAAACCTGTGTGTGCTACATGTTATGTGCCCTTGTACCACTTGGAGAGTATAACAGTGATTACCAATACTAATATTTCAACCCATCTCATGGTATCTCAAAAGAAAACAGAACCTAAAAAAAGAAAAACTGTGGATGAGAGAACTGAAAAAAATAGGAAAGTCCATTGAAAGAAATTTGGGAAATAAAGCTGCTAATGTCAAATTTTAAGCTTTGGTGACAGATGAAAGTACTGATGCTACAGGTATGGCTTGATGTGCCATTTTTATAGGAGTTGCTGGTAATGAATATAATGCCACTGAGGAAATGGCTTCCTTGGTGCCTGTAGAAGACCATAGAATGTAGAATCTCTTGAATTGGATGAGGCAGAAAAAAAAAACATTAAAGCAATTTTCTTTAACCTTTGTCAACAGATCTGCCATAGCTACCGATAAGCAATGGTCGGTAAAAAAGAGACATAAAATTAATAAGAGATGATGCAATTGCTGCCAGCAACTCACATGTGATGAAATATCATTGCATCATACATCAAGAAAATCTATGTGCAAAAGCTTTGAAGATGGATAATGTCATGCAGATTGTCATCAAAGCTGTAACTTCATCAAGTCCAAGGGACTGGCTCATTGCTAGTCCAGTTGTTCCTGAAAGGTATGGATGGTATGTTTTTATTGTGGACATAATTCACTTTTCTGAAGGAAGGTGGCTAAGCTGGGGTAAAATGCTAAACTGATTTTATGGTTTGTGAAATGAAATCAAATTCTTCATGGAGTCAAAGGAAAAATCTGTGCCAGAGTATGAAGATGAAAATGGCTCACAGAGTTAGCATTTTTGGGGGATGTCACCACTAATTTAAATGAGTTACACACCTGTCTTCCTGGTGAAAATCAACTTGTCTGTGCTATGTTTCAAAACCATAACAGAGTTCAATATGAAACTTAAATTATGGCCAGCTCAAGTTACTGCAAATAATCACATGCATTTTGTTACACTGACTAAGCCCAACCCTGTGAATAGCAAAAAATGTGAGCATATTTTTCTACATGAGGTTTCAAGACTTCAAAAAAAATCATCATATTTGACTGAATATTTGAATTCTTACCCTTCTTGTACTTCATCAAAAATCTCTGATGAAAACCTTGAGAGCTCACTAAGAACTGCAGCCACTTCCAGTGAACCAGCCTGATGCACTAGCTTCACAAAAATTAAGTCAAATATCCCACTAATTTTACATTTTTGCTGCTCTTTTTTATATTTTAATTAAAAATAATATTTAAAAAGTTAGTTAGTTCTATAGCTTAACTCTATTATATACTCTGTATGTGGCTCAAGACAAATCCTTTTCACTCAATGTGCCCCAGGCAAGCTGAAAGGTTGGGATACCTATGCTTTACCTCAATTTCACGATGAAGACTCCAGAGTTCTTCCACTGTGCTGAAAAAGGAAGCAAAACCAATGCAAGTTAGTGAGAAGTATTGCACAGAGCAGCTTTGTGGGCAGAGAAAAGCATCAAATAGCAGATGGGCACCGGTGAGCTCTGCTCCTGGAGCTGCAGCCAAAGGAGGATTTTGGCAAAGCTCAAGCTTTCCCCTCATTGCATGACAGATGCATTAACCAGTAGCAAAGCAGTCAGCACATTTCACTCCTGCAAATTTCATCCAGTTCATAAGCAAGAGGCTGCAAGTGCCCGCCCTTATTTCCATCCTCAGCGCTACAACAGTTGGCAAAGCTCTGCAGTGCTAGCTATGACATGGATATAAACAGCTCTCAGTTTGCTCCCTCCCTTGTATTTTCTGCCTTGTATTTTCTCAGATGCATGCAGCCAGGGAAGTATCCCTAATGTAGCAAACATTGCTGCTCTCCGAAGAGAAACCCAAACCCTCATGTTTGGCATTTACTCACTTTGCTCTCAAACTTCTTATGACATTTGACAACCGAGGCACCTGGCAAAGAGAAAGTAGTAAAGAAAATAGCTTACATTAATCCCAGCTCTGTCCTCTCAGACATCTCCATCACAAATGCAAGCCACTGACGTAGTGCTCAGGCAGGACTTGTGGCTTTTCCCCAAAATGGGGAGAGGGGGCAGAAATAATGTCTCTCCAGTTTGGAGGAGAAGTGTCTAAGCACAACCAGTATGCAAAGCCTGGAGAGTTCCCTCTGGTTAAGTCTTACTGCAACAGGAGACACCTATTGCTTGACTCCATCTAAGCTAGGAAGTAGTGCACCTTACAAAGGGTTTGGTAATCCAGGACAGCAGAGTTTTCATCCAGTTTGGTGACTTCACCAACCAGAAGAATATCCCCAAGTTGCCTTTCTCCAGCTCCCCTTCACTGAAAGAGAAGAAGAGTGTTTAGCTGAACAGTATTAGAAAGCAATTACAGGAGATCAACTTGCACAGAACCAACTCCTCTAAATAGCATATCTCAATGAGAAGAAGGTTTTCTCATTTCCTCTGGGCTCCTCTGTTTCCCATGGTTTTACAGGCTCTGCACCCAGTTTCCTTTGATCTGCCAAGGCCGGTAGCAGTCTTAAACAGAGCCAAAGTTCACCTTAATCTCTTGATTATTAGCTGCCCAGTAAATCCATCTGCAGATCAGCCACTGTCCATATTCAGTAGATCTGCTGCCCAAGTCCAGGGAGGATTCCCATAGACAGGCACCAATCACACAAGCCATTTTGGGTTATACTCACAAATTGTTGAGAAAAGTGACACCTCCATCTGCAAACATTCCCCTGAAGCAGAAGTTATAAAGCGAGTAGTCCACATTTGTAAGTTCAAAGGGCACCAGCTGGAAAGACAACGGATGAGGTGTCAGTGGCACAAGCACAACAAAGCTGCATGGCAGGAGCCATCAAAAGCTAGCAAAGGCCCAAGCTGGGGTCCTTCTGACATCCTTTCAGGAGGGGCTCAACCATTTGATATCCAACCAACCCCAGAGCGCAAGGAACCCTCCAAAACCAGCAGCGAAGGACAGAGAGCACAAGGACTGTTTGGCTACAGATGAGCTGCCATCTGCATCTGCCCCTTTATTTTCTCCATGGGTCCTGGTTTCCAGATACAAAACCAGTCTGTGGCTTTCCAAGCATGCTACATGCAGTACACCTGTGGAACTGCCTGCCAAAGAACATCGCACACAAGAGGTGAAATGGGTTTATTTATGAATGTTCATAGAGTCCCAGAATCATTAAGGTTGGGATAGACTTCCATCTAGTCCAACTGTCCACCTACCACCAATATTGCCCACTAACCATGTCCCTAAGTACAATATCCACCCTTTCCTTAAACACCTCCAGGGGCAGTGACTCCACCAATTCCCCTGGCAGCCTTTTCCAACGCATCACCAGTCTTTCTGAGATGAAATTCTTCCTAATACCCAACCTGAAATGTTGTGGGAAGTTGAACGGATTGAAGGCCCCTTCCCTGACAAATGTGCTTTATGGTCACTCGTGGGTCCTGAAGCCAAAAGGAAGCACAGCTGAAGCACGTCTGTTGGGTTCATGCAACACCCTACCGTGTGGCCAGCATCCTCCAAGAGCTGCTTTGTCTCCCGAACAGCACGTCTCATGGCAGGGCTCGGCATGGTGAAGAAATCTGTTTCATAATAGCCTATGCGGAGGGGCTGTGTACTGGAATACACCTGCAGAACAAGGAAAAGCTCTGGCAGAAACACTGTCAGAAGCCAACAGCACACACACGACGCAGGGCAGGGCACTTATCTCACCATTATACCAAACCACATAACATCGCAGGTCGGCACGCCAATGGCACTTTGCCTAAGAAACAACAGCTCTTCTCACAGCTCTGTATCTCCTGCCAGGTCCCTTACCTCTTCATTGAAGGGAAGGGGAGGAACAGTGCTGTCCAGGTTGAACATGTCCTCGCACAGCAGTGCTCGCATGCACAGTGCCAGGCTCTCCACATCTTTTGCCATCGGCCCCACAGCTGGGGTCACTAAGAGAAACCAGGAGAAAGCTTTTATGGCAGAAGGTCTTTAAAGGGACATGTCCCCCTCTTGGCATCATTCTGACTTAGTTTTGTGTTAGCAGCAGCTCCTTTTATAACCAGGACTAGGAGAGCCTATAGGTCCCTTCCCACCAACAGCCCCATGGCTACAGACCCAGAGTTGTTATCCAACAATATCTCTCCATTGCACAGCTTAAAAAGTAGAACAAAATCTTCGTGGATCACAACTAAAGACATCCTTCCAACCACTAACCCCACCTCCCACAAAGCCGTGGCAGACATCACAGCAAGCTGGAGGGTTAGAAGATGTATCTGGGTTTGTGTAACACACAACTCATGCATATTCCAGCATTCTTCTCCAGAGCTGGGCATGCAGGTGGCTCTCTGAAAGAGTCCCTGAAAAGGAACCTGCTTTTCTCTTTGAACACGTAGGAGAAGCTAACACTAGCTAGCTCAAAGTCCTTCCCAACCTTGCCTTTCTTCCCTCCCTGCAGGGCAACTGCCAGTTCCTACCTGACTTCTGCCCACAGATACCAGAAATGACTCCTTTTTTGCTGCAAAGAGAAACAAAAGACAGCCACTGAATTTTCAGAGAAAGGAACACATTGCCCTCCCTTTGCAGATGCTGAGGTTGGCTGAAGGGGAAGCCCAAGTAACACCCAACCTAGGCCAGAATGGTAGATATCTGACCCATCAGAAACAATTATACATTCTTAGCATGCAGGTGTAGAATCTTCCACTGCCTCTGTAGTGGGGGAACTGATGCTTCCCTCCTCCAGAAAGTGTCTGGGCAGGAGGGAGAAGTGAGCCCTTCCTGGTACCTCCCACATTTCCTCTTGCCCACAGAAGCAGGAGCATCCCAGCACAACAAAACAGGTGGTGGCGGGCGTCACCCTGAGAGATTACAGCCTGTAGCTGGCAGTGTTGCCTGCAGCACGGGGTTTGGAACTCATTAATGTTTAAGGTATCTTCCAACCCACGCCATTCTATGACTCCATGATTACTTGCAGTACCTGAGTCTGTTCCCAGTAGGTTTGAGCGCACAGATCCCACAGAAGGCAGCAGGGAAACGCAGGCTCCCTCCTAAGTCTGTGCCAAAGCCCAGGATGGACCCACCTCCTCCTATGAGAGCCCCTTCTCCACCGGAGGAGCCTCCAGGAGTTCTGGTGTAGAGCAGGGGGTTACACGTCTGACCGAAGATTAAGTTATTGCAGTCATAGCTGGAGAGACAGAGAGTGTGTACATGAGGGGAGCACAGACAACTGCTGATACAGAACCTGGTCACTCCTTCCCTCCCCTTATGGGCGGGATGTGACAAGCTGTCCCCAGAAATGCACTACCACAGGTCACTCGGCAGGGCAGAGGAACATGAGCAGGACAGTACACCTGACCTCACCCCACATCAATAACATTGCGAGCAGTCTTGGCAGACACAACAGCAGGTTTGGGGACAGGATAATTTAAGGTTAACTAGCTAACGAGCCTCCTCTTCCATACATACATTTGCACTGGCCCTGCCAGGCCTGCTGCTGAGGTGTTAATTAGATTAAAAAGAAAAAAAAGTTATTTCAAAACACCCAGCACAGGAAAGGGCGGCATTTTTTCTCCTCCTGCTCTCCTGTGTCTTTGTTTCATGTGAAGCTAGAATGAATTTTCATTCTGAGTGGCATTAAAGTGTAAAGACACCAAGGGTCTGGTGCTTGATCTGCTGGTTGGCAACCCTGCCCACAGCAGTGGGGTTGAAACGAGATGATCTTTGAGGTCACTTCTAACCCAACCCAAGCCATTCTGTGATGGGGTCATTATTTAAAAAGAAGTGTGAAATGAGAAAAAGACTTGATAGAAACCCAGCCCCAACTGCTCATGTACCTGATGAGGGACTGGGGAACATTGGTTTTCACAAATGGAATTGCCCCTTGTCTCTTGAGCACCTGCACCAGCACGCTGTCCTCTGCCACGGGCTTATCGATGTTTTTCACAAACCCCAACATAGAGTCATGGCCCTGGGGGCAGAGTACAACCAGGTTTCCAAATGCAGGATTGCACTTTTCCCCAAACCCTGTATTTTTATCTCAATCTAAAAGCATGTGCACGCACCATCCAGAACACATACATTGTGTGGTGTATTGCTAACAAAATCCAACCAGCCTTCTCCGTTGGCTTGTGTGGGAAATGGGCAGCAAATCCTATCATCCACCACAGCAAGCGTATTCTGCATCAGCTATGACATGAAGCTGAGGTTAAACTTCCCCCACCACCCAATTTCAAAGCTCAGTCACATCATGTTGGTGGTACCTGGCAGTTGATGGAGTCCTTGATGCTGACAGGCACCCCATAGAGCAAACCCTTCTTCTCCCCAGGCTTTGTGTGCTGGAGCTGGGTCTCGCTTTCCTGCATGTACTCTGTGATGCAGTTTGTTTCTCTAGCAATCTGGAGGGCCTTGGGAAAAGAGACAAAGCCTACACGTGAGACACAGCCTGCAGTGTTGGACAACCACATTCTGAAAAGCACACTTGTCTCTTCCTGCTTCCCCACCTCCCCAGCTGGCATCAGGAAGCCCTTTTTGTTCCTTGCCAAGAAGCTTTCGTGCCAAACCCCAACACTTGCCCTTGCAAAGATGTGGGCTACACAGGTGCAAGGTGGTGCTTGCCACTCCTCATTGCTCCAAACCAAGCCCAAGGCCATGACACCAGGCACCTAGCCCTCACCTTTCCCACGTAGGCATAGAAGACATGCTCTGGAGGGAGGGAACCATCCTGGATTTTCTTGGAGAGCTCCGGCAAAGAAAGCGAGAGGATGGAGACCAAGTTCACCGAGGGATGCTAAGGGAAAGGTTGGACATGGTTAGGTTAACTGATGGGGTCCTCCTCTTCCCCCGGAACCTACTGTATTCCATCCTAAAAACAAATGCTGTTCAGTGGTCAGAAGTAATATTTGCTCCTGGTAATGGAATCAAACCCACAGGGTCAGCAGAAACCCAAACTTTCTGCAGTCCTGTCTTCCCCGCCAGACTGGCTCAGTCTTCGGTCTTCCTCAGCTCTGTTGTGCTCAGACAGGTCTCAGCTGGGCCCTGGAGGAGATGCTCTGTAATACATGATTGACTGAACTGTGGGGGGAACTGGCCACATTCTTAGATATTGCTCAGCAAAGAATGAAAACAGCACGGTGCCATAGCTGCTGGCATCACCAAGGGAGCTCACAAATTGGCTGAATGCAGGGAGTTCATCTGGGGCCAGCAGAAATCTCCCTAGCAGGGATGAGCACCAGATTCACGCTGGGCTCTGAACCACAAGCTGGGCAGCTGGATGTGACCGCAGAGCACGGCGTGCCGGCTTTGTGGCGAGCAGCCCCCACAGCCTGCCAGCTGTACTTGGGTCTCGCCGTGCCGCCGAACTTTGGCCTCTGCTAGAAAATACGGCCTCTCCCATTTCCTACGGCTCCTTAACGAGCGGGAAGCTGAGCGTAAAACCATGGCGGGTGAGGCCAGGAGGCAGAAATAGCGCTTTAAACGTGGCGTTGGGATTTTCCTTCTCTTGCTGCTGCGAGCGGCTTTTTGCTGACTCCTGCACTCAACCGGCACGATGCGGGCTGCCCTTCCCTTCCCTCCCACCACCACGCTCATCAGCGGCGCTCCGGCCACATCTCTGCGGGGTGCGGGCATACAGCATTCAAAATTAAAGAATTACTGCAGATGAGGACCCACGATCCTCACTCCCAAACACCTGCCCAGAAACTGCAGGCATTGCTGCTCATCGGCCCGAAGGAAGGAAGCCCTGTTCTCTCCCCGTCCTCAGCACACGTGGGATCAGGGGAACTCATCCGAACCCTGCCAGGGGTGGGGAGAACGCAGCTTCCTGCACCCACCTGCTGCCGAAATGCGCGCACAGCCTTGTCCATCTGCTCCAAGCCTCTCTCCTGCCTCTCCCGAGCCTCCTTCACCTTCCTCCAGAGCCCCCTCCAACGCCGCCATCGCAGGAGCAGCAGCAACAGCCCGGCCGAGCCGCACAGCACGGCAGGCACCGAAGGCACGGCCGCCCGCATGCCGCTCCACGCCCCGCCGGCCTCGGGCTGCCCGCGGAGGTGGAGAGGAGGGAGGAAAACCCGGGGAGGACCGCCTGGCACGGTGGGCTGGGCCCTGCGGAGCGAGTTAACCGCTTCGCTGCTTGGGCGCAGGGTTGGGCAGCGGGGAGCGCTCCGGATAGAGCCCTGCGGTTCTTCTGTTGATAACGTGTGCTGCTCTCGCTTTGTGCTGGGGAGGATGTGTGTGTAACCGCCCCGCTGCGACTTATCAGCTGTCTGGCTGCAACCTTGACTGAGCGCGCCGAGAGAGCAGGGGGGGCCAGTGAGAGGAAAAGAGGGGGGGAGAGAAACAGTTAACATGCCAGCCGTCTGCTTCAGGGCAAGTACAGCACGGCATGGTGCTGTGCTTTGCTCGTGGCTGCATCCTCCAGTGGAAAGCAGCGTCTTACTAAGGCCCTATGCTTAGGTTCGAGGGGAGCTCCAACACCTCTACCTTCTCACTGGACTTCCATGAGTCTGTCTTTAAAAAAAAAAAAAAAAAAACACGAAAAAAAACAAACCACTCACTGTTTGCAAAAGTTCATGCCCAAATATTTGGATAGTTTGGAAAACCTGCTGGGAAGGGTTTGGACTATCTTCTCCCTCCCACTATCTCCCTGCAGGACACACTGTGCCTAAGCCAGCCCTGACAGATGCAGAGCTGAGCTACAGAACACCGCAGAGCGTTCCACATCTCCAGCCCCGGCTTCCTGCTGTTGTGGTTCAGGCCACCTGCTTTCCCTCAGCCTTCCAGCTGTCAGGGCTGCCCTGGCACAACTGCCCTGGGCTGATATGCAGCTCCATGCACAAAGAGTCCTGGCATCGCCTTTGCTGATGGCAATATTCAGCCTCGGGAATATTCAGCTCTTTTAACTCATTGCTTACAGCTTCTTGCTCTCTGTCTGAGGACAAGCAGCTCCTTGGTTATCTGGGTCAAGCATATTACATGCAAGAATAGCCTTTGTTTCCTAGACCTTGTGTTTTTTTCTCTCATTCTTTTCTCCTCTCTGCCTTTCAGACAGTGGGGTTCAGATGATCACAGAGCCAGGGCACTGCACTCCATGCAGACTGAGGGCAGCAGGGTGGCAAGGTCTTGCTTCTATCTCCATACGCATTAGCAAAGTTCAAACTTTGGGATGATAGATATTAGGATGGATCTTGCCCCTGCCTCTCCCACATTGCCCCAGCGGTGCCACAAAGCTGTGTTTACTGTGGGAGGGACAGAAATGCACAGCACACACTGTTGGCAGGACCGGTTGTCTGACAGCAGCTGAGAGCAGACCCCAAGGGCACGGTAAGCACACAGGAATGTTTTCCAACGCCATCTCCTGGCGTCTGGAGATGTCTGGCTTCTCAAGTTTTAGTGACGAATAGCTGTGTGCATGTGCAGATAGATGTTTCTTGGGTGAAGCAATCCAGCTCTGGCATTCACAGCGTATCCACACACTCCAGGAAGCAGCATCTCCTGTTTGCTGTCCTTGGCTGATTGCACTTACTGCCCTTTTTGTCTGAAGAAGCAATGAGCAATAGTTCTCTGTCACCAGGAACACACACACTACCATTCTCCCATTTCACCCTATTGCTATCAGGTTGCTCCCAGCAGTTAACTACCTGCCACCACTACCAATCCCCTTTGCCAGGGCCTGGCCCTCTGCAATCAGATCCAAGTTACAGCGATCTGTCTTCTTCATTTCTCCTCTCTGTAAGTAAATTGCATGTTTCAACCAAACAGTCCACTTGGTGACACCCTTGGCATTCACCTTGTAGATAGCTCTACCTGTAGAAGACACCTCTATCAGTAGAAGACGATCTTTTGCTCCTTGGGCACTTGCTTCTTACACAGGGGGCAGGATGGGGATCACTAGCTGGCTCACTGCTTAGCTCATCAACTCTCAAGAACAAAAGGATTCTTCGTAGTATTCCCATCAACATTACGGATGACATAATATGCAAGATATTTTCCCTTGTCTCCTTATTCCCAGCCCAGGTGACTTTTAGGTGAGAAACATAACAAATAGGTGCAGATGCATCCATTTGCTATGCTAAATTCTGGTGCTTTCTGGCTAGAAAGGGACATGGGATATTGGGAAGTGCTTCTCATGTCCAGTCAGCTGTGCTGACATCAAGTATGGTGCTGCTATTTTATGGTCCCTTGGTGGGAAGGAAGGAAAAGCTGAACAGGTCCCCAGGATCACGGATGTTCTTTGACAGTTGCACTAGATGATCTTAGTGGTCTTTACAACCTTAATGATTCTATGGTTCTCTGGGAGATCTCTGGGGTTGTTTAAAACCACTTTAAGCAAACTTAAGCAAACAGTGCACCTTGAAAGCACTGAGGTCAGGCTCTGAAAACCTCCTCCCTACACAAATGAAGGAGTGAGGACTCATTAAGGAGTGAGGACTCATTTCTAGCAGTGCTCATCTTACAACAACCCAAATCAGAACAGCTTTGCATGTGAACATGTGAACATTAAAAACTAAAGAGGAAAAAAAAAAAAAGGACAGAGAGAGAGAAAAATATTTAAGCATCTAAAATTACTCCAGTAGTTGCTTTACACAGCTGAATGAAGATAATTGTGTTGGCAATTGTGAGTGATTACAGTATTATCTGCCATCAAAAAAGTTATTTTTTTGAATGCTAAAGGAATTAATGATACATAAAACTGTGTTCAGATTGAGTGCATTCATCAGCAGAAATTCTTGGTGTTGGCACTGCTACACTGTAATTACTCCAGCAGCTCGGAGGGAGGAGGAGAGCAAGAGACACCAGGGTATTGCGGATATACTGCCACAGATTTACATACATTTATGTGCTGAGCACTTCTTATGATTCAGAACGGGAGCAGAGCCAGAATAGAAAAGTTTGGCTCCTTCCTTAATGCACATTGCAGAGTAAAGCATAAGGGGTCACCACTGTGTTGACTGTCAGTGTGACTGTGTTGACTGTTCCTGTAGTGCGTGTTGACTGTCAACTAGACAGGTTGAAGGCAACATGGAGAAAATGGTCAAATGCTCCTCTGAGCAGCAAGGGATGAGACTTGGCTTCATGAGATCACAGAATCATGGAATCATTACGGTTGGAAAAGAACTCTATCCAGTCCAACCATCCTACCACAAATGCTGCCCACTAAACCATGTTCCTCCATGCCACGTCTCCATGTTTCTTGAACACCTCCAGGGATGGTGACTCCACTACCTCCCTGGGCAGCTGTGCCACTGCATCACCACTGATTTTCCTAATATCCAATCTGAACCTCCCCTGGTGTAACTTGAGGCCATTCCCTCTCCTCCTATTGAATCCACAAAGATGCTGCCTCATGGTGTGTTGAATTAATGAAACCATTCCTGGGACCACAAGCAGTGGTTGTCCAGCTCTGGGATCCCGATGGTGGTGATGGGCACAGCAGAAGTGGAACTCAGATATTCTATGATTCAGCAAGGAGGCACAATACTGGGGGATGCGTAGATGGGGTCAGCCGAGGAAAGGCTGTTGGATGGGTTGTAAGGCAAATGGCAAATCTCAAAACCCTTAATGGTATCCATCTCTTTTTGAACTATACCTTAAGGTAAATTAATAAAGAAAATAGAGCACAAACTCCCCTCCAGCCTATGGGGAAACACGGGGCTCAGGAAAATAGCTCTGCTGGATGCAGTTGGCCTTTCGAATGTGAGCCACCAGAGAGCAGGATTGAGCTGCTGGCCCGGTGGAAATCGGCCTCTCACGAGTCTTTCACTTTCTAAAAACTTGCTTTGTGCCCTCGATTTGCAAGGGGCGCTGAATGAAGCAGAAGGCTCTTTTCTGAGTTATGTGTTGATGGGATAGCCCAAGTTTTGAGGGAGAAATGCTTTGATTTCAGGCGGTTTGAAGTACCCATATAAAATGATGCAAGATTTGCTCTTGCTCCATCCAAACCTGGGAATTTTTCCTAGGCAGGGCGTCTCTGCAGGGCTTGGTTCTGCATATGGTCAGTGCTGAGAGACCTGAGCACCTGGCTATGAGGATTTACTGTTGTGCACAGGACTATGCCTTCAATCCAGCACAGTGTCTGCTAAGGTATCTCTGCCACCCATCTGACTGCGTATAGGAGAAAGAGAGAAATGGATAAAATTGTTCCCCTGTGAAACCTAGTTTTGAGTCTAGCAGGAGCAGCCTCACATTTAATCCTGACAGCCTTCTTCCAGATAAATGTTATTCCAGAGTTTGGGATAAAAATTTAAATGGGGTCCTAAATGGTGAACGTGGTCCTGGTGCATCTCTGAGTGTGGCTGCACTGAGCCCTTGGTCACCAGTATCATGCTTTTCCTTGCATGGGAAACACAGACCCCACATTTTTCTTTTTTTTTTCCTTCCTTTTTTTTTCTTTTTCTTCTGAGCTCTGCTTTTTGAACAGGCCAGGAGAGGGAGACAACCAGCCAGTTACTGCACTGGCTGGATTTCCAGCTCTCCCTGTGTGCCATGGGATGAGAGCAAACACACTTAAAAATCCACACTGATTTCCCCAGAAGTCCTGGAGAAAAGATTTGATTGTGCAGACCTGCCAGTGTTCTGCAGTTCACATTACACAGACAGGATGGTCATAGAGCAGAGGGGAAGCTGAGGTGCAGGGCAGCCCCGTGCCTTGTTGGAACAGGTTGGCGACGTCCTCCTTCTTGGGGACCCTCCAAATCCAGTCATGGGCTGTGATTATCGTGCACCAATTGGCTCTGGGTGCTCTGGGCATGGGGTGGGCCCACCAGGTGGGTGCAGAGGGACCATTTTAACACCCCAGATCTCATCCCTATACAGACACACAACTCACACAGCACCGCTCTGCCGCATTCAGGCTGTGCGTTGGTGCCAGGACAACCAGAGGCTCGGTTCACAACACTGATGGCAAAGCCCTGTGGACCCCCAATGGGAGGAAGCAGTCACTGGTATGCAGACACAGGGAGTGCTGGAGGGGCCATCTTCCCAGTGACCAGCAAAGTGCAGAGCAGCAAGGCCCACCTGCACAGTG